AGGTAACATTTCAAAAAAAAGGCAGTTAGATACTCTTATTTTTAAAAATATAATAATACTTCTTTATAGTGAAATTGATATTTGACACTTTCCTGAAATGTCCCGATGGTTGGTTTGGTCCTCGATGTTAAACTCGAAATGTATAAATTGTAAATTATTTTATTTCATACAGACAACACATATTTATAAAGTTTAAAATCGATATGTTAACGATACGACCATTCTTTCATCATTATCACTGCAATAGAACTGGTATAGGTTCTAATATAACTGTTGATAATATATATTTGGTTAGTTAACACCATTGAGAAACTCTAGTAGTGAAGTGAATGAAGCGCTTTATCTCCACTTTACCTATTTTTAGATAATGCTGATAAACATCGTTTCACAACGTCTCGCTTTCATCTTAACTTAAGCAACAGACATACATAAATCAAATCTGTGTCTAGCTACAGCTTTGGAATATACACAACATAATATACCTAATCTTAATGATTCCTTTTCTATTAAACTAAATATACTCAGTCCCCATTTTATAACGTATATGAAGTTTCAAATTTTATTTCATTACTAGCGACTAAACCCCGCTTCGCTCGAGTAGGTACGACCGTTATTTAGATAGCTACGTTTTAAAAATTTTGAGTGGAACCCTAATTCTTTTTATGAAATAAAAGTAACTCCTTATAACATCAGCTATTTGCCAGTGAAAGTCCCATTAAAGTCCAGTTGTTTCGGAGATTAGCCGTAACAAACAGACAGACAGACAAAAGTTTTTAAAATTGCGTTTTTTTATAAGTACCTACCTACTGTATATAATTTCACATGCATTTAGTAAAAATCTGTTATTTCGACATTAAAAACAGACACTTCAATTTTATTAATCTGCGTACATTCTAGGTCATAGTTTATACTGGACTAAATTTGAAGCAAATCTGTCCAGCCGTTTCAATGTGAAGGCGTAACAAACATACGCACACACATGCAAACCTTCATATTTATAATAGTAGTATGATTTTCATATAAGCTATAGATTAATTGTGATTATTTACTTTACGACCAATAAATGTGTGATAGATGAAAAGTATTACCATGAAAAATACAGCCAATAATAGAAATAATACGCGATTCTCATTTCCATATATTTGAAAAGTGAAAAAATAGAAACAAAAGTACTTTTGAATGTACTTGTATTCACTTTATTTATTGAACAAAACTTTCATACGTAATTTTTAAACTTTATTCTTTGAGAGAGAAAACACGGCAAATACATTCCGAAAAATATACTAAAAACTACAATTACCTATATGGTCTTTGTAGGCTATTTACAAGCACTGCTTAAGCGAAATGACTTGAGTTACATTTTGTAATATATTCATATAACTTCATTCCACCACCATCACTACCACAACGACCACTACCACTACCAACATCACCACCGTCACCACCACCACTTAAAAAGTTATAAAAAAATAAATAATAGTACTGAACTGTTTTGTCTTTACCTATCTATCTAAAAAAACCTATTTCCAATTTTTTTTATTGATATAAACAAAAAAAAGAAAGTCGATTGACAAATAGGGGTGAGAAAGGTGAACTTTTTTGTCTTTACCTATTTATAAATAGATTAGAGATAGGCGCAAACCAGTATTTAGTTGCAAACAGTTTAGCTATTATAACGCCCAATTAATCAATCAAATCTGGTTATCATTGCTAATAGCATGCAGACTCGTAGGTCCTGGATTTATACCCCTGGTCAGGTCAAGTATAGTTATTATAATTTTCTGTCAAGAAAACCCCACAAATATTCCGGAGTTGGTAAGACATCGATACCCCCGTGATTCGGAGAAATAAAGCTGTCCGTCCGGCGCCTGATCTTCTTCGAACGTGTCGAATAGTCATCCTATAAGATTTTAAGGAGAAGGAGGTGTCATCCCACAAGATTTTAAGAAAGAGGAGGAGTTTAAGGAACAGAGAGTACACTTGTGCACTATTATATCTCCTGCGCACATATTAATATCAGTGAGATTGGCCGTCGTGGCCGATGTCGGTCAAGACGACATTCATTACATAATATTTCCCACGTAAGTAGTCTCCATGGCATTGACCTCCATAAATGAAAATCGCTTAGGATTATTATTCATTTCACAAATGATGTAAGGAAGATAGCTAGTTTTTTTCAGTTTTTTTTTTAAATTAAATGTACTATTGGCCATGAAGTTTGCGTTTTAACAACAAATAATACTAAATGATTGCAAAATTGTACCGTAGATTAGTCAATAGAGTTCTGATAGTTATAAAATATTTAACGTAAAAAGAATGTATTTTTTTTCATATATTAATTGATTTTACGTTTATAAATTAAGAGCAAGGTCTATTACTAAATCATCACACGATTTTTGATCAAAAAACTATTGTTGTCCGTCTCTTCGTCAACTCCGTCATTCGCGTTTGTTAAAATCTATACATATAATAAAATTCTAAATAAGCCGAATCTGTACATTAAATATTTTTTGGAAAATCTTTTTAAAAAAGACATTATTATCGATACAGAGGCCGAATCTATAGTTTTTAGAATTTTTGTCTGTCTGTCTATCTGTCTGTCTGTCTGTCTGTTACCGCATCACAGAAAAATCACTGGAGGGATTTCGATGAAATTTGGTATGATGATAGCTAAGAATTTGGTTTTTGGTAATCTGAACGCCGGTGGAGCCGCGGGCAATGCTAGTCTAATATATTATTTAAAAGTAAGAATTTGTGTATTTATCGGTTCTCTAGAGAAACTCTATCCGATGTTTTGATTCTATAAGTTACCTGTTACAGTGTTATACTTCGTAGATTGCCGTAAGCCATAAAGTTCTAACAAATACTAAAGGAAAAATATGCAATATAATAATTAACACTTTGTTAATTATGAATACAGGAAAAGCGAAACAACAACAACAAAGAACAACTTGTCTATTAATTTAATAAACTTAAACTTAACTTTTTGCTTTTATAAATCTACTAGCAGAACCCGCGGCTTCGCTCGCGCTAAACTACAAAAGAACTCTAAAAAGTTGGGTCTCCCAAAATAGGACACGAAAGCTTGTATGAAACCCAACCTCTTATGGAATGAATTTCGAAAAATGCTATAACACGTATTTATTTTATTGTATTACAGAGCATTAATACCAAGTTTAAAGTAATTCTGATCGTAAATATTTTTTGGGTTGTATTATAGCGTGTTTTCCCGTGGGAATGAGATAATCTCCCGCGGTAAAAAGTAGCGTATGTCACTTTCCAGCCCTCGAACTATATCCACACAAAAATCCATCACTCTGTTTCGACGTGAAAGAAGGACAAACAAACAAACAAACAAACAAACAAACACACTTTCACTTTATAATATTAGTATGGATACATATAATAAAATGATCGCTGTCTGTACATGGAAGGCATTTGAAAGAAATTATTATTAACGTAATAGGACACAAAACAATGATTTTTAGAATTTATGTCCATTTATCTGTGCGTTTGTGCGCGCTAATCTCAGAAAAGGCTTGATCGTTTGGGTGCGGTTTTCACTAATGCATTGTGGTAAGCTTCACTTAACATTTATTATTTGTTTTATTTCAATCGATATATAAATAAAAAAGGTATATCAATTTAAAGAATCACACAAGAGACGAACCTGAGCGAAGCAAGGGTGAGTCGCTAGTAATAAATATAACAAAATAACATTATAATGCTGATACTCTGTACTGTTCATTATTTCGTTTTTAGCATGCAAACTAATAAATAACTGCACTTTTATCTAACCAACAAACTCGATATTATAAACTTTTGGTCGCTTTCAAGCCTTTCTTTTAATTGTCATTTTGACAATTTTGTATTTGAAGTGTGAATAGCAATAAAATATTTTAGTACCATCGAGCTGATCTGATGATGGAGTCAGGAGATGGATAAATATTTAGTTTGTTTTGATGAGTTACATTGATTACAGCTGGTCAAAGACCCAGAATTTGTTGACTTGATTTTCGTTTCATTCTACTGAAACTTAAACAGGCAAGCAACCACACAACTGAAACTGGAACCCTATAATATATTTTATAATTGGTACCTATTAATATTAGATGTCACAGTATCTTTTAATATAAAAAAAGTTAATGAGGCATTCAATATTTAAACTAAAATAAAACACCAGTCTCTTATTATCTATTTTATTAACTTTGCAATAACATTTTCTTAGTCATAAATTACATAATAACTATATTTACTAACATATATTTCATAGAATGAAATACAAGCTACAGGTTAATTTTAAGATAACCTTTCATCAATCTTGTCTTCATACAACAAGAATTTAATCGCAGCGCAAAATATATTAAAACAATAAAGAGAATGGCTAAAATTAAACAATATGATTGAACACACGTACCTACCAGACAATGCACTTTTATTAATTTTGCAATATTTTGATATTACAAAAGATTTATTATTATACTGATTTAGAAGGTTTCAAAGCAAATATTTCGTGAAATTCAATGAATATAAAGAATACAAGGACTTTAAGTACAATTACCCAATTAAAGTTAATTTTAAAACTGTTAAAAATATCGAACTATCGCGTGTTCTAGGCAGTGTTCATTTGCAATATGCGCATAACTTATAACTACACCATTCAAAAATATAATTAAACTATCACAAAGCTATCACGCTGATCGTCTTCGAATCACATACATCACAATAAAACGCGGAGGAATAAACATTTATAACACTTAAGGCTGAATACACAAACATCCGTTGCGTCCAATCTTCCCATTTTTATTAAAAAAAAACTTTATAATATCCTTAAGTTGCCATTTCTTTAAATCCTATAGAGAGCTTTGAGAGATCCATACAACTAAATACTAAGTAGTAATCTCAATTTTGATCCTGTTAGAACTAGATCAGCCCATCCTCATGATGTTGCGACGGCGAAGCAATCGCTCCATTGCGTAGAACACGCGATCTGACCCTCAGTAGGGACAAACTATTCCTCCTGCACCAGGAAAGGCGGCTGCATCTGGGTAGTGCACCCTGCAGATCTCCTTAAACGTCTTCCCTTGCCTTGGCTTTTCAACGGGTCTGTACGCCGGGTAGCCGTTGTTATATCCATAGTCGTACCCATAATTTCCATAGCCGCTGTATCCGTAAGATCTCCTACTGTTGCCGTTAATAGCATCATATATAGCGTCGAAGAATGGAGCAGCGTCTACTGACACTGCGACAATTAGTAGGGCAAAAAATAATATTCTCATGAAAGTCATCGCGGAAGGGTGCCAAGTGGCAATTGTCTCAATTCGGATGACGGTCACTGCGACCTCGGCGCACGGAAGCTCACGGCAGTGTTCTGATCGCGAATGGTGCCGGGTGCTCTTATTGCACGCTTATATACTGGCCTCGGCTCGTCTGAACGGAGATAAACATTGCGCACGCGCTGGGTTCACGGTCTCCAGTCGGGAATCGCATTGAAGACGCATCTACAGACGGGATGACCGGGATCTCTTAGAAATCTGGGCTTAACCAAGCAAATTTTTCAGCGAATCCTTTAATTTCTGTTTCTAATTGCTATATATCAACAGCTAAAACTTTATGCAACTAACAATTTTATGTTTATTTTGCTGTAAATAAAAGATAGCAATTATTCCAATATCACTAGAGTTTTTGCATATAATATAATGATTTAAGTATACTTCCTGTTGATGTACGTACCTTTTAACATCATCATGCCTAAAAATATAAGTTATTCGTAAATAGGGTAAATATTATTGAATAATTACAGCAGCTGTGAATCAAGTAAATCAAGTCATATACAAGTACATATGTACACATATTATCTATTGAAATTACACAATTCTAGAAATAATTATGTCCCACCAAAATTCTTAGAAACTTATTTAGAAGTAACAGTATTTATGATTTTTTACAATCAATTAATTTCTGGGTAAAACTTATCTCCGTAATATAACCATCCACCCATACGAGGTCTAATAACAACATCCTTCCTTGTTGATAAGAAAAATCAATGACTTAGATAAGCACAGCTTTTGCACTGAGCTGATACAAAAATACGTACCTTGCTAGTATCCAAAATAATATCTAATCAAATTGTAATTTTTTTATTAAAAATATTTATAACAATTTTGAATTTGTAATTTTGAAAGCAATTGAATATAATATAATTTTTAGAAATTTGGTTTGAATTTCAAATTCAATGGTGTATAATTATTGAGCGTATCTATTTTAATAGGACGTTTTTGGTATACAGAAATAATTTAAAAAAAAATATTAAGTCTGCGATTATTAAGCCATTTTTAAAAATGAGGCTTTCACGAGCAACCCAATTTTTTCTCTAAGTTTTCTTAGAGAAAAAATTGGGTTATAAATTATAATTTTTTATAGATTGTGAAAACTAACAAGGGATACTTAGAGTAATAAAAAACCCGTCGAATAAGGGATTTTTGGATCTTTAATTCTTAGTCCAATTTTATATACTTTAATTGAAATCAATGTTTTGAATGTTATAATGTAAATACATAGTATAGATAAGATTGAGCAATAAACATTGCATTATAATATGAAGCAAATTTACCTCAGAAGTGCAGTGAAGGAACTATAACAAAATAATAAGGCATAAATGTTATTGCATACAAAATCCAATAACTGAATATAAAATACGGTTATATTGTTTAACTCGTACTAAAATCATCACCGATAAGTGTAATCCATACTAATATTATAAATGTAATAGTGTGTTTGTTTGTTTGTCCTTCTTTTACGTCGAAACAGAGTGACGGACTACGTTTTACCGCGGGAGATTATCTCATTGCCACGGAAAAACACGTTATAATACAACCCAAAAAAATATTTATGATCAGAATTACTTGATACTTCGTATTAATGCTCTTCAATATAATTTAATGAATACGTGTTTTAGCATTTTTCGAATTTCATCCCACAATCCCTCAACGACCGCGGACACGTCGGCGTTACAGTTAACAATAGATTTCTTAGAAATTTAATTAATTTCTTAGATGATAAGGAGGAGGTGATAAGGGGTCAAAATAGGGGACGAAAGTTTGTATGAAACCTACCTTTATATAGTTTTTTATAGTTAAAACTATATGTGCTAAAGCACGAGCGAAGCTGCGGGTTCTGCTAGTATTGAATATTCAATTTATACCGTTGTCATAAAATAGTTTAGAAAGCCGACAAACTTATAAAAAGCTTTGTAAAATATTAACAAATGGTAATATAAAAACTATTTGTGATTATGTAAATAATAAACATAAAGTTAGCGTGCATAAATTATAAATTAATTTTAAAAAAAACTTTATTTTTCTTAATAAACGTGTAATGGATTACCTATTTCGCGTATCGCATTGTAGTTACCTACGTCGGTATCGAAGTCAAGTTCAAGCGGCGAGCGTTCACCTCTGGCCGTGAAGACATTCACGTTGATTCACACTATGATCCTGTAACTTAAGCGTTTCTAGTAGGTATCACTTGTATATACATATAATAAAATTGTAACTAAGTCGAATTTGTACATTAAATATATTTTTAGAAAATCTAATTGAAATAGACATTATTATCGATACAGAGTCCGAATCTATAGTTTTTAGAATTTTTGTCTGTCTATCTGTCTGTCTGTCTGTTACCGCATCACGAGAAAACCATTGGACAGGTTTTGATGAAATTTGGTATGATGATAGCTGGTAATCCGGGTCAACATATAGGGTACTTTTTACCGCGGGAAATATCTCATTTACGAGAAAAAATACAATAACTGCGTTGTAAGACTAGGTATATGTAAAACCTCAGAGTTTGGTTTTTAGTCATCCGAATGCGGGCGGAGCCGGGGGGCAATGCTAGTATAAACTATCTGTTTAAAATTCCATTGTATCTTCTTATTCTAAAGAACTTGACCGAATTTGATAATGTTTTTTGTGCTTTAATCACCTAATAGGTAAATGTCAAATGAGGACCTCCTCATTTGATGGCGAGACACTATAAAATAACTAAATTATTAATACTTTCTATAGAAAAGTAGTAACTAAATGATAATATTAAAGATGCAGGTTTTCTTAATTATTTTACTAATCGCTTAGTTTTGGATCTTTTTTAATTTCAAAGTAATTTACCATGCCTAGATAATAATGAATCTATAATACTTATATTTATCCTTGACCAAATAACACGAATTTTACAATTTGTTATAGGTACTCGTAAGTTAGGTCAGAAAAATAAAAATTTAAATATGGAATTATAATCGCACAAGGTGCGCCGACAATCGGCATAGTGGCATATATTACGGAGAAGTCGGTAGCGACTTCAATCTTGTTTAAACTTATTTTCTTATTATTTTACAGATTATTTGAGATATAAAAACTTAAGAAAATAAAAAGTTTATTTTCGCATCATATATCGCATAAAATTTAAAAATTTATAACTATTGAAAAATTAACAAATAATCCATATTTAAAACTATCTAATAAATGAATATCTCGTGTCACGGTGTTTGCGGTCACACTCCTCCGAAACGGCTGGAACCGATTTTAATGGTTTTTTGTAGTATATTTGGTAGATATGAGAGTAGGTCGTAAAGTATTTTTCACCCTTCTAATCCCACCCCCCCATTTTTTAAGTAAGTAGGGGCGAACCCGAGCGGAGCGAGGGTGAGTCGCTAGTGTACAATAAAAAAATATCAACACATAAACAAGTGAGTTTTTTTATTATTTTTCTATTGATTTCTATTTCAATCACCAACGACCGTAATAAATACGTTGGGCAGAAATGAGATTTCTAAAGAGCAATCATATGAGCGATCACATTTTTCTTTCCCTTGTTGTAAATTAGATAAACAGCAATGAAGTAAACCAACTTATCTATATCCTATCTACACTAACATTATAAAGAGGTAAAGTTTGTAAGTTTGTATCTAGGGGATAATCCCTGAAACTACTGATCCGATTCTGAACATTCTTTCACTATATATTACTAATAGGAAGCTACATTACCGCCGACTGCCATAGACTATTTTTGTTCCGATAAAAATATGCTTTCTGTGAAAAATCTGAATAACTTTAATTGAAGTCGGAATTTTTTCTTCGAAGTCGAATTTTTATTGAAGTCGGCCGTTGAGTTACTTTATCCGCTATTGTTGGTACCAATTGTCTATACATATATATAATAAAATTGTTACTAAGCCGAATCTGTACTACATTAAATATTTTATGGAAAATCTTGTTGAAATAAACATTATTATCGACACTGAGGCCGAATCTATAGTTTTTAGAATTTTTGTCTGTCTGTCTGTTATCGCATCACGGAAAAACTGAACTGAAGGGATTTTGATGAAATTTGGCATGATGATAACTGGTTACCCGGGTCAACATATCAAACCATTGAGTCATAAAAAACTAAGATTTGAACAGTACATTTTTATAATGACATAGATAACCACTGTGAAAGATTTTTTTATTTTAACCTCTAAGATTGCAAAAAAATAATTAAATATTCAGGTTAACAGTTAACTTTAAACTGGGCATTAATACTCACACAGTTAGCAAAGTAACTATTTCAAGATTGATATCGCTTAATTTTTCAAATTATATATAGTTAAATTTTTATTATTATATTATAAACTAGCGATTCACCCTCGCTTCACTTCGTGTTTGTCCCTAGAAGAAAACAAATATATTCCACGGGAACCGTATATTTTTCCTAGATGATATCCTGTAGCCTTCCTCAATACTAATTTAATCTATATAGGCTATCTAATTCAAAAAGAATTTTTCACATTGGATTAGTAGTTCCTGAGATTAGCGCATACAAACAAACAAGCAAACAAACAAACAAACAAACAAACAAACAAACAAACAAACAAACAAACAAACAAACAAACAAACAAACAAACAAACAAACAAACAAACAAACTCTGCCTCTTTATAATATTAGTATAGACTATCGGAGAGAGACCGGGGCAAGTCGCTGGTTCTTAATCATTGAATCATTTGTGATTATTATAATGATTCAGGTAACACTGAATAATAATTCTGTAGCATAAAATGGACTCCATTACTATTATAAATATAAAAATTGAAATGCTAGATTTGCTTCACAGAAGACTGATTCCACTGCGTAATAAATACAAAGAATATTAAAGACTAATACAGTAAGCTTTGTTTAAATATATAAAGAGAAAAGTGTGCCTCAGTAAAGAAAATATATTTTCTTAGAAAAAGACGGTGAACATTTCTCTTAGTAGACCTCCTTCGTTTTGTTATTATTTTATACGTCGAAGTAAAACCAACCTTCAAGTGTACGCTCACGATTAAGCGGTTACTTACCAAACACAAACTGCTAGATATGTGGCTTTATTTACCTGGTTGCTTCCAGCATTCCCAATAATCTATCTATCTAAACATTTTCTTAGGAGAGCTGTAAATAAAACATACGCTCCATACAAATTACGTTAAAATTTCTTATCTCTAGTAAGAAAAAGCACAAATACGTATGTTATTCGGATCCGTCATTAGACAAAGATAGTAAAAGAAGAATGTATGAAAATGACATACTTAGTATCTAACCTTTGGGTTGATTAGAATGAAGAACGAGATTAGAATAGGTCATTCTCAAAAACTTCTATTTTTATATTAACCACATCGATTGCACGAATCAACATAACTATTTGTCTCTTTTAGTATTATTTATATTCTTTATTGCACAAAAAAAAGACATATATTACTTTAAGAGAAAATTGAATACAAAGGTGGAGTTATCTCAAAAAGAGATCTCTTCTAGTCAACCTATGGGTGTGAGAAAGTTTGTTCATTTAGCAGAACGTAAAAGTGCAACGTGATAAGGATATAGTGTTTAAAAATAAGGCATCACAGTGTATTTTAAAATAATATACCTACTACATATTATAGTCTTAATATAAAAAATATATATGTACAAACATACAAGTATATAAAATACATAGATAACAATATAGC